CCATGTTAGAAGCATTTTCACACGCATCTGCTGTTTGAATTTAATATCTAGCACGATTTGTAAAATACAGTTCCTTTCATTTTACCGATGAGTTTGTTAGTTCATATGCCACGCCTTTGCAATCCGTTATAACAGTTTATAGTTGTAATCATTGCCAAACAAGGCCTAATCTCAAATTTGATCTCTGGCACTTCACGATATGCAAGTGTCATATTTGAAAATTTTCCGACTTAAGTAAGATAAAAAAAAATTTCTTCTTCTCTGTGCAAAATTCGACTAAATTGCAATTGATTAAGATCCATCCTTAATATATTAATACTTTCCCTAGGCAAGCTCCTCAAAATACGTAACTATTTCTATGCTGGTGTCGTCATTTGATACAAATACTTTTACTTAACGCATTCTTCTGAGACTTGTCGAAAAATAACGGTCGCTGGGGATTAGCTCGACAAAATGTGATGTGATAGGTGGCACAGTAAATCGGAATCCATTCATGCACTTTCATCGCCGACTTGTGATTCGGGATATTAGTTCCGCACCGTTCCACAAATGGTGCAAACAACTCTCATGTCTCTCATGCCTAAGTCTTGATTCAAGATGTGGCAAACACCTTCTTTGGACCTGTTCAGAGGCTGTACTATCTATATTTTTGAGCTTCATTGCGAACATTCGTTTAATGAACTTTAGCGACATTTCCGTCAACCCAGCTTGGTGTCGAAAGGTGTCATTCGAAATAACCGAAATTGCAACCCTGGAATCGATGGCGCATAGGCTCCGCACAAAGTAGTTTAAGTGTATTATCTTTCAAAAATATTATTAATACATATTTATTGGCAAACGCGTTCCTCAAGTTTTATGGACAAATCTGGCCATTTTCAGGACAAAAAGTTTTCAAGCAAGCTGATCAAAGTGATCTACGCGTTGAAGTCTTAGAGAAGGAAGGTATCGCCTGCAAATTTACAAAGGAATTTGGAAATGACCTAAACTTTTCAAAGGATACGCCTACATGTCCCACTCATCTATATGACGCAAATTTTTATTTTGAAAATGGAAAAAGTCCGCAGCGCCCACTTCAAATATAAAGCATGAAAATTTCGCTCTTTTAGTTAGTTAGATAACAGGTATGGTTAAAAAAGATTCCATCACGATCCAATATAATTGTCTTACTTGATTAGTTTAAAAAATGACAGTAAAACGGTTAACGCGTATTCTATACGATAGATAATAAATCAGCTTGGAAAGGCTGGAACTAAGCTTAAGAACTTCGTTATGAAAAGCAGTGAAGTAAATTTATTAAAATGTAAAATAAGTAAGAGAACATTCTATCTGGCCTAAAGCGTACCTTTGGCGCCCATCATTTACTAAATAAACTCAATTCTATCGAATGTTATAGGAGATCAAGAGAACCGATTGTTTGCTTCTTTTTTTTTTTCCTTAGAGTTTCTAACGATTGCCTATCAATTATGCGGTTGCAGACGCTTTACCTTTAATTTAAGATTTAATCATTGCATTGCAAGGAACAACGATCGAATTTGTCTTACTTTCAGTATTTTTTCGACAAAGTCAATGAATGGCATGAATTTTCAATTTATCTATGTCTGTCTACCTTCTCAAATTAATTTAGCACATGTACTTCTAGATTCCTACCTCTATACCTTATACCAAGAAGTTATACATGTATATATATATATATATATATATGTCCTTTTCACTTTCCATCCTATACTTGCTTTCGAATCGTGAAATTCAAACAATTTAAAATTTATTACTTAAGCCTTTAAGTGATATTTCTCAGGAAATCAGCACAAATAATGAATAACTCGATAGGGACTACAATATGGATGGATGCTTTTGGCATTGCATTGTTACTGCATTACGTTGCTGCTGAATCAATAATATCTGCTTGAATCCAAGATAATTTTCAACCACATGAGGCGTTTCACTGCCATTTTACATATAAAATACATAAACCAAAATTTGCTATTTGGGTATTAGTTACCTAAACCAAAATATAACACGATCTCATATACGCACACACACACACACACACACACACACTTATATGCAAACAATTAAGAATACATACATACATACATGGGGTATATTTAAGCACGTGTTTCGCCTTAGTTTGACCGCAAATGCAATTTCAAGCAAATAACATATAACGCAAACAATACGTAGTGAATTCATTCATCTACCGAAGAGAATCGGTCACCTCATCTCTTTTAATAACCAAATATCTTACTGCACTGACACTTAAGCAGCAGCCAGTAGAATTATGGATTTCTTACTAAGTAGTAGTAGTTATTGAAGTTTTGTACAAATAAATATGTTGAACTTAATGTTCGCTGTATGTAAATAATAATATTTAGATGAAAATGTTGGAGTTTTCATAGGTCATAGGCTTATGTATCCGTTTCCTTTTATGTATACGTTTGTGTGTTTGTGTGTGTGTGTGTGTGTGTGTGTGTGTGTGTGTGTGTCTGTATATCCCATATGCATAGTTATATGTAAATGTAAAATGTCTTTATATCCCTGCAGGTATTCTCAACATATTATGTCATCTATGGTAAAACTTTCTAGTATCTTTGGGTATAACATGCATGCATGCATGCATGCATATGTGTGCAAGCATTCAGGAATTTGTAGCTATTGCAGTATTTAACCCTAAACTTGTACATGCATACATACATCCAGCCTGCATGCATGCATACGGATGTATGCAGGTGTACGCGTGTGAACATGAAGCATATTGAACATGTTGGTTGGTTCGTTGGTTAGTCATGTATTTGACACATTAATTATGTTGCGTTAATATAATAAATTGTTGATTAATGCCGATGAAATTAAAGGAACACCTTACGCGCACACATTTGCACAAGCATGCATATGTGTCCATATCTATACAATTTATAAATGCGTGAGTGTATCTGCTCTTTCCGGCTTTTTTGCTCTATCTCTTGCCTGAATTGAAACGGAAATTCAAAACATTCAACTTAAGGTGTTACTGGCCGGATATAAATTTTACACAAAGTGTCACAGACGACTAACTTTGTCATACATGGACGCATACACACCTAGGCTTTACGTTATAAACTAAATATTTTGTATAATCAATTTTATTGTTACAACCTCTGAATATTAAACAGCAGCAGCAGCAGCAGCTTACAAGCGAACCAATAGAAAAAAACACTCATTCCTTCTTAGTTTATCTCATTCTCTTCAACGTAAATCTGCATTTAAAGTGACAAAATTTTATTATATGTTACTTAATCGGAATACTCGTTTAGGCATTGTCAAGCAACAATCATAAGTCACTTCTCTAGTTGAAGCAACTTTATGATATCAATTAAATTACAAATACCATTCAGTCTGAATTTTGAGGAGCAAACAAATCACAAGAAACCAAACTCGATTTAATAGCTTCAAGCGGATCACATAAACTATAATTTTGATTATTTAAGATTTAATTCATCTAATACTAGTTTTCAATTTTGTAATCATTCATCTGATGTATCTGAGACCTTTAGATTGATTGTTTCATATCCCGCCGTATTATCTACTGATATATAGCGCACTTAAATACATGTTCCGTCTTCAACTGCGGTTTCTGCAAATATTGTCCTAGAAAGCCTAAATGCCTTGAAATTCACGACATTCAAAGCATATGCCCTACGTTGATACCGAGGTATAAAAAAATGTTACCGAGTGGATAAATAATTGCGACTATCAAACTGAGTGTTCGCGGGTTCGAATCTCAGTTAAATTTTTTTTCATTGAAATGAATACTTTTTCCTTTTTTTCTTTTTTTTTTTTTGAAAACCGCCAGCTTTCAACTTTAGCCTTTCATTTCATTTCTCTGGCTAAATTGCTCAAATTCTTCGATTCTTTAAGACTCACGTGGGTTCAGGAACGCCTCTGAGAGAATCTCTGTACCAAAGAGCGCACCTTAATCGTCGATATAGTGAGCAACCACTAAGCTGCTATCAATCCTTAACGCTTTCTCTTTTCTCCATATCGTACACGATTAAACGCATATCTCTTTGAAGCCTCGGTACCATTCATAGGGGCCGATTTCTTGATTATTCTAAGCTTTTATTTCACACCTTAAGTTTGATTGTACTCGAAAGAACCGCATTATTGAGGATGAAATTTGATGAGGGACATTCCCAATTAGAAAAATTCATATTTAATGGAAAGAAGAATTTTTTATATACATATTTCTCCACCACGAAGCATTTTAAGATGTAGCAACAATTGCTTTAGCATATTCACTTCAAACCATTGCATTGGACTGACCGCTTTTAAATCTTAAATCACTCTCCCGATGCTTACATATATTACAGAATGTTTCTGCTTTACAAATGACACAATCTGATCTGGGATTGTCTAAGATTGCTCAGTTTTGAGATGAGAAAAAATTACTGAATTGTAGCCATTTTTCCGGCGCCTATTAAATAAATTCGTTTGCCGATTGTTTCTCTTTGATTGATTATTTCATTGAAAGGAGACGAAGACGTGTCGTCGGGAGCAGAAATCAATTTCCTATATAAGGAAACATAATCAGGCTTGAATGCTTTTTTAAGCCCGATAATTAAAATTGAACACATTGCGAGCAATGAATACAAATTTAATTCACACGTTCAGCATTTCAGAGATAAACAAGATCAAACATTGGTTCAACGCAGTTAGTAACTTTACTCCATTATCGTAACGTAGATAGATAGGTAGATAGATAGATGCTAACATTTGTTCTTCATTGCATTTCATTTAACATTCCATTCTAGAATCTCTTAACGATGAAGAAAACCTGAAAGTTGACTGCTACTATTGTTCGCGTACCTCTAACCACGCACAAGATGCATTCTTGTTAGATAATTAATTCTCTTTTTTATTTTATTGTTGCATGAATTTCAAAAACTTAGTGAAAAAGAAATCGTTTATCGCTTATCCCTTTTTCAATTGTGTCATAAAATTCGTATTAAACTTTTTAAGGGAATATTATATAACATAAATTTGTAAAAATGGAAAAGAAAAAATAGTTTTTATATGCCATAAAGTTAATCACATTATTTATCTGATTAATAATTTATGCAAGTTTTCTCAGTAAATGTTGGGAATTAAGTTTACGATTCAGGATAACGACAATAAGAGTTACTTTCAATTAATTCATGCGGTATCCATTCCTCGTACAAAGGTAAACGATTTTTAAGTGTTTCCGCTTCTCGTAATATGCGCACCACATTGCCTCCGATCAGTTTCTTGATAGCAGCATTGCCCCAAACGCGATCACGGGCTAATTCGGCCAAAAGAAATGCATAACTTTTTGGTGCTCCCGACAAACCAATATGATCGACACCGGCCACTTTGCGTACATAGTTAATCGCTTTGATTGCTTCACGAACATTTAATAAACGATCGCCACAACGTTCAAGATTTAACATAATGACACCACCGTTTTCGGGTAATAAACTGAAAAATTGAAGGGTTTTGTTATTTCATTAAACGAACACATTCGCCAAATTAATCTCATTACGAACCCTAAAACATGATCAGGTATCGGAGCAACATTTGTACTATTGCAAAATGATTGTGGAGCTGAATTAATTAGCAATACAGGGGCTTTGGCGGTTCTCAATGTGGCAACCATTGCAGGTTCGGATAAATGAGAAATTTCTATTAACATTCCAATGCGATTCATTTCAAATAACATTATCTGTAAGAGAGAGATTTAAATGGTTGAAGAGTAAATGCAATCAAATTCTTATTGGAAACCAAATACTTTGCCAAAATCATTAATGGAATTTGTGGCATTTCCTTCGATTAAATAATCGACATTTCGGGTCGAAGCTGCCCACGGCGTGGTACAATCTAAGCTTGTGATCGAGGCAAATCGGGCACCCAACAAATGCATTGAACGGAGGACTGCCAAACTAGTGCCCAAGGCGTGACCGCCTCCTATACCCATTAGAACAGCCACCTCACCTCTAATGTGCGTTTGCTCCATTTCGTCGGCCGACTCTACAATATGCATGGCTTCGGTGGCGGCTGTAATGCGCTTGGCCTCATCGACACCCTCCAAAGCCAATTGCACAGCATCTAAGTATTGAGCTGCACAGGGCACCACGATCGGCCATAAGACTGCGCCCACGTATTTTTGACGCATTTCTTGCATGCTGTTGCTATAATTCATATTTCGAGCTGGACTCCATGAACTTTCAATAAGCGGAGCTTCTGTTAATAGCCGACGTATAAAGGCCAAACGAGCTTCCAGTAGAGAAGATTGCCGTAATTGTAACGCTAATGGGATTCCGGCAGCCATTGCTATGCACAGGACCATGATACCCATTACGACCAAAATGCGACGACAACGTGACTTACTGGCCTGGGAATCGGTAGGCGAATCCAAGCCTCCCGAACTACCGCCGCCACAAGGATCTTTCGTGTAGGATGTTAAGCCACCATTTTGCATCTTTTCACTGGCGATTTTTGTAATCTCTGGCGGAGGCAATTCGACTATGTCAGCTATTTCAGTGAAAACGAAACATTGTTGCTTACAGTGCGGCTGATGCTGATGATGATGGATAGGATGCACTTCAATAAAACCATGATTTGGCACAGTATTCATAATTGTAGGTTTTTTCCCAAAAGAAGAAATGGTGGCAAAGATTAAATGCAAAATGCTCCTTGGCTTCCGGTGAAATGCTATCGGCTTGAAAAGCAATAAATGCAATAATAACTTTGGCTTTATTGATTTAATGCAGTTTATGTGTTGTATCCGCATACACTAAGATTCTCTTATATACATAAATTTGAAACTTAAACAAATGCAAAATGTGGAATTAATATCAGATACTGAATTATTTTGTTTTCATGTCACTTCAAAAACATCAGATCGCGCAAAAAATTAAGATTAAAATGTAATTTGAAAGTATTTACGAATTTAACTCCACAATATTTTTGAATATTTTATTAGAATCATCCCCAAAATATACTTTTGTTTTTTCCTTTTTGACAAATTACATTTCACTACGTAGTTTTTCTACTTCTTTTTCTCTTCTTTTGTTGACAAATGGCAAGACGGGAAATTCTCAAATATGGTAACCTTTTTTATTGTGTCCCCATTTTGCAATGAATTTTAACAGAATAAGTTAGTTGGGCACTCAACCATTTTTGGCAATTTTTTTATTTATTATAAGCGACTCTGTGCCTTGCCTTTCAACAGGGAATTTAGCGAGGGCGCTGTTTAAAAATTATGACGGTTTAATTCTAAGCTAAATTGTAAAATAAAATAAATTAAGAAATTTTATAATCGAGAATTTTATCAGACTTTGTAGAATCGAAAGGCAGTTTACGTTACAATTTAATATTTTGTTTACTAACTTGTATCTAAAGGAATACCAAATTTTGTCGTGGATTTTATTTATTAGACCTTAACCAAAGCACTTGTCTTAAAAAGAAAAAAAAGTACGAGTTTTTTTAAATATACTTTTAAACGCTCTTTTAAAAGAAAAATTATGAAAGGAGTGGAGTATATAATTTCATAATACGTGTGTATTTCGTTTTTCTTACCCCTATTTGATTTTTGATTTGATTAAGCAAAAAAAAAAAAACATTAATTGAAAGATAAGCAAACTTGATGTTTTCGATTTGGAATTACTCCCTAAGAAATTAATCTATGTTTCATAATTTTTAATAGATTTTATCTTATCCATTCTTAAAATTAATTAACAGATTTCGGTTTTTTCACTAGTCAACCTTCGCGGATCGCAAAAGTCAAAGGATTTAACGAGCTTTCCAATTTGAGCTTCAGTGCATATGATTATTCTTTCTTTCTTTGAGCCAGTTTAAAAGTTCACTCGCTCTATACTGTTTGCAAAGAAGCCTAAAGAACAAATCGAAATCTGTCAACATAAGACCTAACGAGCTGTCATTATATCTGTCGTTATTATTATGCAGCTCATAAAGATTTGAATATTGAAGTTTTCTTACATCCTCGATACAAATTTGAGAACACATTATTGACGAGAGTTTCGAAATCGTTCCAGAACAAATCGTGACAGGAAAGTAAAGGTAGCAGTGCTATCGTATAGAATAATGTGTCCAGCTTATGGGAACTGCGGAGCTGTGACCGCGGCTACGTTGAACCCATTAAGATACGATGGAGCAGCGTCGCCGTAATCCTTTCAATGTGCTTGGTGGGAACAACGGCAAAGATGAACGTCGAGGATGCAATTTTGAGGGCTCATGTCAGCGCACGATGAATAAGTCAATAATATTTAATGCACCAACAATTTCTTTACATTTTTCTCTAAAACTTTGTCAGCACAAGTGATCCCTTCCCTTTTCCTTTCTTAAATGAAGCGAAGGTATGATTTTAATTTTTCCTTTTATGGCAATTTTTTAGGCTGTCTACTGACAAGATGAAACTAATATTACAAAGACTTTTTTATAATGTTTAAAGATTAATTTTTTAATTTTCTTTTTTTTTTATTTCTATGACAAATATAAAGAATACTTTTAATTTTTAATATACAAATTTTCAATCTTAATACTTTTGTTTTTTTTATAAAGATCAAATTTCGCAAAATTCGACTATTTAAATTACAAATCGACTTCTTGTAATTGCCCAAACAAGTTTTTCATATATTTCGGCCTCTTTCGATAAAAGCAACGCGTTCACAACGAAATCTAGAAAGACTTCCATTTAACATTCATAATTATATCAAAAGCACTTTTCTTACCTCAATGATCGATGAAAAAAGCCAGTTCAACCAATACTACCATTTGTCTTACGAATTTTCATGACGTGTGTAAAATACATCTCCCGGAATGTAATTAAATGAAATATGACAGAGAGGTCTGTTTGTTGTTTTAATAGTTCCAGGAATTCCAAGAACTTTTCATAATGACGATTTTTTTAAACGACTTTGGTAATAACCAAGCTGCAGCTTCTCATAAGTCAATCGAAAATTATCAGAGCTCTATTTAAATCCAACAAAGACATGACTTTTAATTAACTAGGAATAATTTAAAAAATTAAATTTCTTTTATTTACCATAAGGAGTAAGATTGTAAGATGCTTCTCAACGAAAATGTCTGCAACATTTTCCCTTAAAAAATACTTTAATAATTTCCCTTTCTTTACAAGACTTCAAAACTCCTATATATTTAGGGATGGAATAAAGTTTAATTTAAAATACTCGCAGTTTTTATTCATTTATTTTTTCATTACATCGGGCATTCATGCAAAACACCTTTATTTTTTCACTTACCGCGCTCTTGAATCACCTTATTATGTGGATCCACATTCAAATTATCATATTTCAATTCGATCTGACACTGATTGGCGGGAAATACATTGAGATCTTCTTCACCGAGCTGCAAATCTGTGTAGCTTTATTGTCCTATTTCATGTTTGCAAGATTGATTTTTTTGCCTGGAGAGTATAACGAATTGAAAAAATTATTTCAAATTAGTTTTAGTAAATTTAATTCAATTTTCACGGCGTTTTCATCCTTTCACTTACCTTCCCAGAAGAAGCCAGTTTACGTCTTTAATCATTTTTGTAAAGCTTCACCTCTTGTATCCTCTCCTGTCTGATTGAAGATTTTCATCACATCAGTTTAATGGTCAAACATTGCTGGTAACTTTCGACCTCTACAGAGCTTTTCGCTTTACATCCTGCCATTTCACGGCAAGATTCGATACGTTTTTCTAAATAGTGAGTCGCAAAACAGTATGTTAGCATCTTTTTCCACTGCCCAGCAATATATACTGAGTACTGGTATTATTCAATTTTCTGCTAACAATAGTTTTAAAAAACTTTCCTTTATCCATTCTTAAAATATTCAGCAGATGTGCCATTCAAACTAGAATCATGCTTAGTTCAAACATCCTCGCATTAATCGATCACCGTAAAAGTGTCACATTTCAAGAAAACCAGTTCGCCTGTAAGAACTGTTCGCTAGTTGACTAGTTTTCGTACGCTAGTAATTTTCTTTTCAAAAATTCGTTTTCTTCTTTCAGAGATTTGTTTTCATTTCTCAGAAATTCGTTTTCTTCTTTCAGAACTTCGTATTCATTTCTCAGAATTTCACTTTCGTTCTTTGGAAATTTGCTTCGTTTTGCTAAAATTATTTTTTCAGAGAATACGTCTTGGTGGTCTTCCTTTATAAAAGGGATTGATTCCTCTTCCGTTAGGAAGTATTTCTGGGATTCTTCTTTTACAAAGGCGATTGGCCTGTCTTTCTTTAAAACGTTTTTTCGACTTTCTTCCTGTGTAGAAGCGATCGACTCGTCTTCTGTTACGTGGTTTTCTTGGTGTTTTTTCTTCATAGAAGTGATTAATTCGTTCTTCGTTAGGAAAAATTCTTGGGATTCTTCTTTTATGAGAGCGATTGGCTCGTCTGCCTTTAAGAGATTTTCTTCGTATTCTTCCTTTATAGAAGTGATTGGTTCGTCTTCTGTTAGGATGTTTTCTTGGTATTCTTCCTTTATAAAAGTGATTGGCTCGTGTTCCGTTAAGAAATTTTTTGCATGCTCTTCCTTTATAGAAGTCATTGGTTCATGTTCCGTTAGAAAATTTACTTGAGGTTCTTCCTTCACAATATTCATCGTTATGTATTCAGAAATTGATGAGATATCGCAACCGGTACTTGCTGGTTTTGCTATTTCCATTTCTATTAAACCATTTGGCGTTAACCTATTCGGACAAATTTGAAGACTGGATTCTGCTATTGATGATAACATATTCGATTCAGTTTCACGCGTACCCAAGTGAAGGGTTGGAATAGCGTTTTTGGTAAATTTGCAACGGCTATTACATCTCTTTATATATTTCGGTACAAAATGGTGTGTACATATATGATAAAGCTTTCTATTCAAATAACTTAAGTTTAATATACGCAACCAATCGTCAACTTTGTTTTCCGGGATTTTAAGAAGAGACCTCTTTGGACCATACTTAACGCTGCTGTAGCGACATGTTAGTACTATGCATGTATTTACCATAACGAATGTAATGGAAATTTCTAGAAATTAATAAGAAAATAAAGCAAGTTATGTTTTGTTTTCTTCAAATGTATTTTATACATATTTATTCATTTAGAAGACAGGAAATAAGAAATAAGAATCAAAATAAAATAAACGAAATCTTATAGAACAAAGTACACCAGTGGATTGGGCCACAACAACGACCTGCAACCGAAAGATTGTATGAATACTGTGAAAAAAGAAATAGAGTTCGGAATTCTACTTGATTTAATATAGGAATTCCGCTATTAATTATATTGCGAAGGCTAAAGCGGAATTTAGAGGCGTTTCAGGATCAGATAATATATCTTCTTTTAAGGAATTTACAAAATAGTTTTAAACATTCTGTATTGTTTGCCTTATGATAAATAAGAGTGAAACCTCAAAAAAGTGAAAAGACTAATATGTAATCGGATGTAACATGTGTGCGAAAAATTCCAATATTTCTACTACAATTCTCAATAATTGATAATGTATTTGTCTAAAAATTGCCAGCATCCGAAAGTAAGCGTATATGTTTGTTTATAATTCTCAATAATTGAAAATGTATTTGTGTAAAAATTGCCAGCATCTGAGAGTAAGCGTATATGTTTGATTATAATCCTCAAATCTCCTATTGAATGTTACATACATTATGGACTTAACAAGATGAGTTATTAATACGTCAGTTATTAAGTCATAAACACACTCGTTTTTGTAAACAATAACTTTTTTTACTCGAAAAAGAAATAACGGCGCTTTGCAACACTAGGTAAAATGCAATAATTTATTGCACTTTTTTTCTTAATTGCTCGCAAATTGATGCTTGTGAAGATATTTGAAGAAATTTGTACATTTTCCTTAAACGGTCAAAAATGCAGCACTCTACAATTGTAGATCTCTCCCATTAATATAATATCAAATTTGCCACTTCGAGTTTTCTTTTGTAGATACGTACATTACATGCCGTAGTACATTATTGCCGGTTGCAAACTTCTTTATCTTTTTGTTTACACTTTTCCGTTTCGCAGTTATTTGTAAACAAAAGTAAAATAAATATTTCCTGGCAAAATACGGAACAAATGCTTTAACATACAATTAAATATTGTGTAGTGTTGCCATGTGATAAAAACTTGAAAATTATTCTAAATTCATCACTGAAATAAAGATACTAAATGTAACTGATGGAAGATGAGTAATTTTTGAACCGAATAGTACATAACTTTTCAATACCTTTTTATTTAATTTATTTATTTAATAAAAGAAGTCAGTTTTTCGTCTATTTCTTGCTGAGAAAATTTTTTTTAAAAACGAAAGGACGAGGAGGTGAAACAATTTCTGATACTATTATATAGTTTTGGCATTTAAGGGAGAAGTGCTCAGCAGATTCTGGTAAGCGATCCTCTTTAAGCTTTGTGATATATGTAATCCGTTAGAAAGCAATTTAGAAGTTTTATTTCACATTTATTTCACGATTATTTTTGCCAGTGGCTGTAATTTGAAATTCATTATATCATTGCTCATAAATAGAGTTTTTGATGAGTATCAATCATATTGAAAGAGCTCTCTTTCTCTCAGTATTGCTTCCTTGGCTAGGCCATCAACGTTTTCGTTGTGAGAAGAAAGGCTAATGGCTTGGTACCACCTGTTTGATTACAGTTGCGACTCCAAATTTGGAAGCATCTAGGAGCAGTGGCCGTTGCGTTACCGAAGCAAATATAATATTTTTAAAGATGTTAGCAACCCGCAGAACATGTTCTTCTTTTTTAGAGATTGTTTAAAGAGTGGACTTCCCGTCAGTAATGAGAACTATGTTACAATAACCTATTGATCATTTTCTCTATCTATGCAAATTACTATAAGTTTCATAAAGCAAGAAGGAATCTTGCCGTGCAATATGAACTTTCTCGAAAAAGGATTGTGCTGAACGAAAGCTATATCAGAGCATCTATAGCATATAAGTAATTGTTAACTTATATATGTATTTTTTTATAGCAGATGGTCTGAGATTATTTGGGGTAGATAGAGTAAGTCCTTCTTTTCGGGTTGAATATTTTGTACCTATCGTAAATTAGAGTTTCCTTCCATGCTTTGCCTAAAAAGTCCTTATTACGTTAATATCATACCGTACATTGATTGAGTGAAGAAGAAGAAAAGTTTATAAACAATCGTTCATTAACACGTGCGGTGTCTATTCTTTGAAAATTGTTATTACTTTTGCAAAAACCCCTAATCCCATTTCGTTAATTTGGACATATAAACCACATTTCTTTAGTCTACTGTAAACCCCACCTCTAAGAAAAAAAAGCTATAATGACCGAAATCGAAGGCTACAAAGGTATAAAACGAGAATATAGCATTTATTAAAACAAAAATATCCTCAAACATTTATTACAGTTATTCCTTTGCGGGTATCAGCCGAGTCCGAGCATTGTCACAGTGTTTTCATGAAAGAACATTTCATACGTTTGATTGATCCCAACAAACCTAAAGGACGCACACTATTTATATTAAATATACCGCCTTACGTTACGACGCAAAGTTTAGAAAAATTTTTTCAACAATATGGTCCCGTTGAGTTTGTATTATTTGCAGAAAAACCAGGACGTGATGAAACTGAAAAGTGGCATGAAAATCTTACAGAATTTAGCAATGTGAAGCCACCTTTCAAATTCAAAGTAGCTTACGTTGTGTTTAAGAAAAGCGCTAGCTTGGGGCGGGCTTTAGAAGCATCGGCCATCAATTTATTTAGCGATACTACGAACGAATCCTTCATAGAGTCAGGCATGCAACTCTGGCATACTCAATATCAAGAAACAATCCTCGATATTGAGAAGACGCAAAAGCATATTGACGAATATATGGCTGCCTATGATGAACGAGAGCGTTTAGCGCTTGAAGCTGCAAAAAATTCCGCTGCCGATGCTGATGGATGGATAACTGTTGGGAAACAAGGCCGCGATTCTGGTTTTGAGCAAAAAGAATCAGTTCTTAATAAATTGGAACAGAAAATAGAAAAAGGGAAAAAGAAAAAAGAATTAACCAACTTCTATACATTTCAAATAAGAGAATCGAAAATGAAAAATATTCTTGAACTGCGAAAGAAATTCGAGGAAGACAAAAAGAAAATTGAAATGATCAAACAAACCAGAAGATTTAAACCGTTTTAGTTAATATCAAAAAAAAAAATAAATACATATCACTATAAAATATTTTATCGGTTTTTATTAGCTGTAATAACAATTTTCATTAGATTATGAGAAGGCAACGATTCCAAAGCACATATCAGCTGCGGAATATTACCAAAAACGCAGTTGGCGCTTAGGCCCACTTGCACCGCTTGGGAAAGGCGTTCCATGCACTTCTGATAATTACTATCCTCTGAAGGTTTTATATTTTCAGCGACAAGCCGTGCAGCCTGTTGTTTTAGTGGACCTACTATCGCTGCTAAATGTTGCGCATTCAAAGCAGTTGGTGGTCCAGTGTGTACAATCTCTAAGAGAGTTTGCAATAAAGCGAGATGTAAATTGCTATAGGTAATACGATTCGATACTAAAGGTGACAACACTGACCATCTAATCAAACCCGCTAAAGGAGTGACAACCGGCATTGCTATAGCGCCCGATGGTAAAGCTAGCGCTTGCTGCGACGCCAAGCAGAGTGATGGATTTTCAGAGATCCATTCACAAAATACATCGAGCAAAGCATCGGGCGGTGCTACTAAACTGCCCCTTTGGTCATTTAAATACAAATCGGCCACGGCCGTCATCAAATTAGCTGCAAAATGCGGAGCCACTAAGGGCAATTGTTTTAACTGTTCGGGAGTCTTTCGCGAGAATATAATGAAATCGCTAACCAAGCTTTGCGCCATTTCCAAACTGGGCGTCGTCGTGCAGCCTACTTGCTGCATCCAAGTACCAGCTGACGATAACAAGGGCGCCACTGATCCTGATACAGCCGTACTAATGAGTTTGCTTAACGTCTTAGAACGTTGTGGTGTTAAATTTGTGCCAAATAAAGATAGAAATACTGCATTTCTTGTTGCATCAGGGCCAGGTTGTGAAAAAAATTCTATCAATACTAATATCAATTGAAACTCTTGAATTTTATTCATATGCATATTATTGTATTGCTGCGGTGATTGAGATGATTGGGATTGTCCTCGGCGTACATCGACATCTTTGCTCCTTTCCAAAAACACAAATTCTGAGATCAATTGCATAATAAAATTAGGTTTACTGCGGTTGATAATCATACTTTCTGCAAGTAAATAAATGGTAGTTGGAAAATTGATTCTCCTCATCAATTATTTTTCACTTACCTATTCTTGGGAGAACCTCCTTAACGCATAATGGAAACTCCAACTTCCGTAAAGAATGCTTTATATCCGTTTGATTCATTTTATAAAAAATGTACCATTTAAACTTAATTTAGCGCAAATTACTTTAAAACACTAATAATAGGTTTCAACTTAAATTGTTATATATTTTCTTTAAAAGCCACTGAAATACAAATATCGTTTATATATTTACGATATTTGCCATTAGATTTTCACTTTCCAACACTTAATATTAAATAATGTTTATAATACTGATATCATTTCATAGTCAATTATTTTCTTGCCGGATTTTTTCCGTGTGAGATTTCGCGGAAATTTTATTAATAGTTATTTAATCTTTTTTAAGCGAATATTTGTTAACGAAGCTAAGTTCTATCTCAAAAAATGAATAAAATAATAGAAAAACCTGTGGATTTTTCCGGTCTACAGGCTGCATTTGCGGTACGTTATCGTACACATAAACATTTTTATCATAACAAACTTGCGTTCATTATAGAAATCGTTGGAAGAGGGATTCAATTGTCAAGATGTTCAAATCTTACGAAAGTCTTATGATAGCTTTACAGCTAATTCTGATCATGATAAAAAGTCACCTATGGATCAAGCCTTCCGTGAAATGTTGTTGTTTAAACTAAGCACCGACTTAGAGAAAGTTGGAGCTTTGGTGAAGCTTTCCGTAGATGCTGTACGTGCTGAAATAGTTTCAGTCACTATACCGGTCGTTCTCCTAGGAGATATATTCGAAACAGTTACTTTGGATAAATGTGAGCGTATATTTAACTATGTAGAGGAAATGGTTGAGGTGTGGAAGGAAGAAGTATTTTTTTCCTCTTGTAAAAATAACATATTACGTATGTGCAACGATTTACTACGACGTCTCTCGCGCGCTCAAAATACCGTATTCTGTGGTCGAATTTTATTGTTCCTATCAAAATTCTTCCCATTTTCGGAGAGATCAGGCCTGAATATCGTATCCGAATTCAATTTGGATAATGTTACGGAATACGGAGTAAATGGCAAAGATTTAGATGATACTTTGGAAGATATTGAGGATATACCCATCAGGATTGATTATAATTTATATTGCAAATTTTGGTCGCTTCAGGATTTCTTTCGAAATCCGAATCAATGCTATAGCAAAGCATCATGGAAAATGTTTCAAACGGTAGGTGCAATTTTTATTTAAGTTAATTAAGGGATAATAGTGCAACTTCGTTGTCTAGCATGCTACCACTGTCTTGGAATCTTTTGGTAGTTTTAAATTGGAAGATCCTCGTCCCGGTTCCACAAACAATGAGGATCTAGTGAATGAAGAAGCAAGCGATAAAATGGATATTGATTTAAATATATCAGATACCCTGATTAAGAAAGAAATTGAGCAATCCGTCCGCCAGGCAGAAAATTTCTTTGCCAAATTTTTAACAAATCCTAAACTCCTTGCCTTACAACTTTCCGATGCAAATTTTCGCAGAGCAGTGTTGGTGCAGTTTCTCATACTTTTCCAGTACTTACAAATCACGGTTAAATTTAAAGCGTACATATAAGTTTCTCAATTACTTGGACGTATTATTTAATGCGTAATCTTTTTAGAGAATCAAATACTTTAACACCAGCGCAATCCGAGTTTATTAAAGAGACTGAAACAAAAGTGTATCAATTATTGGAAGAAACTCCACCGAATGGCAAACGTTTCGCACGTACTGTCAAACATATGTTGACCAGGGAAGAAATGTGGAATAATTGGAAAAATGAAGGCTGTAAAGAGTTTAAAAAACCGGACGAATCTGTGATCAGCGAACCGCCACCGGCTAAAAGAGAACGAAAGCCCTTAGGCGATTGTTTACGTGACGCTACACGTCAGGGTAAATTTTTCCTAGGAAAGTGAGTGGTTGTTAAACGTATTGCTTGGGTTTATAGCGCTCACTTCTTTTTTCCTTTATGGCAGTGATGTTCTTACTCGCTTATGGAATTATTCTCCAGATAATTTGCAGGCTTGTAAAAGTGAGGAACGCAACTTTTTGCCCCAAGTAGAAACGTATTTGGAAAGCTCGCGCGATAAAAATGATACATCGTTCGAATGGCGGGCATTACGTCTTTTGGCCCGCCAATCTCCTCACTTTTTTACTTTTGTTAATTCTCCATCTTACAAAATCTCAGACTATTTAGATGCGGTTCGTAAACGATTAGCCAAAGAACGTTTGGACGCCGCTAAACAGATCCCAGGTGCCTTAACTAGTAATGGCAACAATACTGAAAGTATTATGAATTCTGCAGAAACTAGTGAACAAGAAACGGTAGCTTTGCAGGAACAGGAAGGCGAGCCAAACGAAGAGGGAGAATTGGAGGATGAAGATGAACACAATGATTTGGAAAAACCAGATGAGGACAACAATCCTCATTCTAAACCACTTACTGCCAACAAAGAGCAAGTCGAAGAGCTGGCTCCATTAATAGGAGACGATTGGAAGAAATTAGGTAAGAAACTCGGTTATACGGCCGACGAGCTACTATACTTTGATACTGAGCATCCTGATCGTGACGGTGGTTGCGTAGCAATGTTAGTCAATTGGTTTGTTGATGACGATGATGCTAGTCTCGACAATTTGGCTTACGTCCTAGAAGGTCTAGAAATAAATACGGCAGCTAAGGCCGTTAAAGCATTAATTGAACGCTTATTAAAAGCTAAACAGCGCGAAGATGAACTAGCAGAATCCACAAAAGATAAAAATATTTAGGCACTCACACCAGACATATCTTACAAATTTTATTCCAAACTTCAAAAACTCGAAAGAAAGGATTCACAATATCAAATTTATCACATATATGGAAATAGAGAACTCATTCTGGATTAAAAATTAAAATATCAGCTATGGAACAAAAAATAAAGGTAATAATATGTAGATATAAAAATAAATGACTGTAATGTCAAGACAAAATTTAAGATAAATTAATTATTAAGAAAGTGATAAAATGGGAAGGAAAAAGAGAATGGGAGGATAGATGCAATTATTGTTAAAAAAAAAAGAAGCGTAACTTCCTTTTGCAACAGTTGATTTTAACGCCTTCTTTGAGCGGCTTGGGCACCTGGCCGTGGCTTATTATGCATCATTGTAGCACACTTTGGTATATGACGTTCTGCGGCCGCTTCATTGAAACGCCTCGAACAGTGTGGACATTGTATGTAGTCTGGATTCTCGGAGGGTGGCGGTGGAGGCAGATCACTTAATTTGCCACCCTTAGCTAGATAAGCCTGAACCTTTTTCGCTTCTCGTATAGCGGATATGAATTCTTCATGCTTTTTACGCCAATTGCTTTTTTTGACCGCCGCGTTCGGTTCCATTTTCATATTATGAGCGGCTGCAGCACTGCCATACCTAGGCGCCTTCTCAGCCTTTTTCAGATATACCTCAGCCTCGGTACCCTTAACGCGATGAACGGTGGCATTGAATATTTTACGTTTGCTGTTAATCATCTTTTTGCAAACGTCCTCATGTTTATCCAAGCGATCCTCTTTAAAATGCCGCTGACAGTAACGGCACGTACCCATGCGTTCATACGCTGAGGGTTTTTCTTCAACGGGATCTGCCTGCAAAGTCGTGCCAATGGTAAGAACAAAATGACAAACAATTAAATCCATCACATACCATACTACTGCTCGCGGTATTTCGTCCTCCAGTTCCGGTTCCGTGAGTGGTCCTCGTGGGTGGTGTCGCCTATTACAAAAAACGGGAAGGAGGATTTTAGAGATAATAATCGAAAGGTGAAAGCCAAATTAAAAGAAAAAATGAAAAATGATTTAACAAAACAACATAATTAAAATTTGTTGTTCTTTTTTTCAACAAATTCAAAAATTTCACGACTACGCCAAAAACATTTTAATTAAAACATAGTTTTTTTTTTTTTCTAACAAAATTTTCATAGAGTGTTCGACAGAAAATTAAGTTGTTTGTGAATGAGAGAGAGAGAGAGAGAGAGAGAGAGAGAGAAAGAGAGAGTTGACATTACCATTATAGGATCACTCACCAAAAATGCTTTATTGCTCGTGCCACTGCTACTAGGTATATAGGATTTCGGTGAGTTAAGAGGTGACAGTCGTGAAGGAGTAGATGTTGCGCGATTGCCACTGCTGGTAATTGGCGTTCGCATTATTGTTTTCGTCGTTGCTGATGGTGCTGTATTGGTTAATTTTTTAGTCAATGGCTTCAATTTAATATTACCAGCAGCGACACGTTTATGAATGCCGGCACCACCACTCGCACCATTCAAGGCATTACGTTCTAAACTATTATTATTATTATTATTATTACGATCTCCTCCTAATGCTTGACTATTCTGACCAACACGATTATTATTCAAGCTCATCGAGCTGAATTCTTTCGGGAATGTTTCGTTTTCCAAATTATCCATGTCGTCGAAATCTTGCATTGCAAACGCACTGCTATTTGTAAGGGCACCATACGATTTGGTCATTGCTATGCTTTTCTTCTTCAATTGATTGGGAGATGAACTACTGGTGCAGCTGCTATTCAGATTATTATTGTTATTATTAGAATTGTTCAGTGACTTCCTTCTGATACTGTTAAATGTACGCTTTCCATTTTGGATTGATTTCATGGCCGATGATGTACTACTGCTACTACTATTATTAGTGTCCACGTTTCGAGTAGTTGTTGTCGTTGTCGTAATTGGCTTCAATGGATGACTGCGATCAATACCGGCGCCACGTCGACGATCATCGAACATTTGACGTACCTACATGTTGGAATATAAAGCGTTTTGAAAAGTTTCTTTAAGTAAAACGACAAAAGCATCTTATAGCATAGATTATCTTCAAAAATGCTTTTAAGAGAGTCGCCGAAGGTCTCAATTCAACGCTCGTACACGGGTAGTGATTTAAGTTCCGAACTTGATATGGAAATTTTTGAAAAATTGTCGCTTTAACGGAACGAAATATTTGTCCAGTTTTGTTCAAAGGTTTCCGAACCGACTGTTCTCCTTTTTTTTTTTTTTTCTTGTACACCGTTGAATAATAAACCTTTCCGTGCTACTCTCCGGATTTATAAGTTTTGTGTAAGAGGTGCCTTTCAAAAGAATCCCTGTTCACAGTTCAGAGGGACAATTAACAGAGTGTAAAAACTGACGCCGGGTATTCGAAATGTTTTGTGCGAACGTTCTCGAATGTTCTAAAAGAGAATTGTTAAAGGATACTTACCTTGCCGTTACCAATAGGTCCCTTAGTCAAGGTTCTTTCAGCGGGCCCGTCACCCGATGTTAAAGCAATTTTCTTTTGTTCGCGTTCTAATAATTGCTTCCTCTGAAATGTCATCTATAATATGATATAAAAAAAAAAAAGAAAAAAGAAATGCACACCAGTCTATTACACAAAATCAATTGAAATAAAGCATAAAGTTCTTGAACTATATATATGCATGCGTTTACTGGTTGCTGGTTAACTAACACCAACGCCTAACGTTCATTCAAATTGAATTTAATCAGCGAAACCAGCAACAACAACAACCACAACGACAACAATAAGAATCGATATTTATTTTTTTTTTACTATTTGTTTATATATAAACTAACAAGAACAATAGCAATAATAATAATAATTTAAAAAAAAAAAAAAAAAAAAAAAAAAAACGAAAACTAACATTAAGCGAAGAACTAAAATTAATGGGCGGCAAATGACTCAGAGCTTGAATAAGACGTCGGCCAGCCCACGATTCGTTGAGTTTCTCTACTGAAAAATTATCTTTTGGAATTGTGTTCGAATCATTTGCAATATTATTATTATTTTGCATAGTAGTTTTGGTCAGGTTTTATAATTTAGAGGCCTATTGTTATTATAAAAGTTAAAAAAATTTTTTTTTTTTTTTTTTTTTAATTTTGCATTATAAGCAAAATATCCTTAACGCGTCTATGCGAAGTTTTATACTAAACAACAACAAAAAATAAAAATAACTAAAAAAATAGGAAAAAGCGACTGTGATTCTTGAACAGATAGAGAGACAAGTAGATAATGCATATGCAAACATGCATGCATGCATGCATGCATGGATACATACTTACAGATACAATATATTCCAACTTATAGTTTATGCACGCACATACAATTTGCTATATATATATATATATATATATATATATGTATATATGTATATATGTATATTCACTATTACTGTCGCCAACAATTAGAGTACAATATAGCAGACTTCACGACAATCAAACGCCATTAGTCCAGGTTATGTGCATTCATTTACATATGCATACTTTTACATGGTTGGTCGGCTATTTATTTATTTTTAAGTCCAATGGAATGTTTATTTATTATATCTGTCATCGTATGTTGTTGAGTGAAAAAATTCCGCCTAGAATTTAATGTTTTACGATGGTATGATTTCTAGGACCAAGCAATGCATTTTACAACGAGCATTATCCTTTTTCCATTTCATTTCTTTACTCATAACACGAGCCCATAGTCACTCAAACACGGGTTTACAATTCAACAACGCTGCCCCACTCCCTTCAAAATTTACACTTCTATCGTATTATAAGCACCCGAGGGACTTTTCTCATAATGCATGTTTTTAATTGCTTTAATTGTTTATCGAGACGATTACGATTATGATGACCATAAATTATCATTAATGCATTATAAAGTTGGCGTAACGGAAAGTGAAAAAAAAAAACTTGAATAGTTTGCATTTACAAAATAAAATATCAAAAGAATGTAAAACACAAATGCCAACATATATAATCTTCGGAGGACAAAGGAGAACGAGAGAGGGCATAATTGCAAAACTCGTGAAATCTCAAGCATGTTTTGTGCTCGGCAAGCTGGCATGTTTGCCGTTTATACATATGTCTCGATATGTGTGTGTCTATATGTCTAGGATTAGTTCGTCACCTTAACACTGGTAGCAAACTACCCTTGCATATGGTATTAAAAGATTATCATTTTAAATTGCAGGTGCGTTCTCATTTTACAAAGGGGAACATCTCGTCCGATTCGTTTTGGGTTTGCCATGACAAACTGAAATAAAGTCTATGAAAATGAATGTTAAAACTTGTCTCTGGGCGAATGTTGGACATTCTTTTAACTTTATATTCAATCATATAAGCATATATATATATATATATATATATATATATATATATGTATATATGTATGTAGCACTTTAGATTGATAACTCGTCTAAAACTCGTTTAGGTAAGATCAAGTGCAATGATTTTTGATGTAGAACTTTGGAAGTAAGTCAAGTAAGTCCAATATTTGCGAGCTTTAGCAGATGACATTTGCAAGGATGTCTCTGGAGAGGTTATGTTTGGCAGCTCAAAGGCAAGCCATTTTTGTTAAGTTTGTTTAATTGATATCTCGACAAGTCCCCCAATTCCATCTGTTAAGATGTTTGTTACTGCATAAAATAAAACTTGTATTACATTGACTGAATGGAAATGTGAGATGCGTTTAATCAAGATCACTGGTCATTTAAGTATTCGAACATGTTCCCTGTGCAAGAAACGGAAATCTAAAGTGAAAAGCAGCTTTGAAGTTCGTCATTACAGTCCGCAAAACAAGCCGGAAAATTGTTTAAAAAGAGACAGACAGCTCTTACACAGCTCCACAGTTTCATGCCAAGTGTTGAAGCTTATAATGCACCAGCGCAAAGAGTTTGGTGCAAGCCTTTATCGCTGTATAATCAAAAGGGATTCTAAAACTATTCGTTAGTATTCTACAGTTATTGTTTCGATGGAGAATAAGTTTCGTGTCATTCCTGCTGATGGATGAAAAAAAGCTTCGCTCCATTTTCTGCTCAACGATAGCTTAACTAATCGGGTGTCAACAAATTCGGCTCAAATTCTATAATTCTGTCGACGTGACTGCATATCTGCATGAAAATGCATTGCATTCATGTTTGTCCATCTCTCAGCCTGACATATTCACTTGTGTATCTGCTAAGTTTATTAACGCAAGTACATTTTTTTTACCGGTTCAAAGATTAAACAGGTAAGAAAGTCAAATTCGGTCGAGACCGAATTTTTTATGCCCCTCACCATTATCCTAGAAAAGACCGAAGAAGTAAAAGGAAAAAATTTTCATGGGCGCAGCTGATTTCTTCCATTTTCAAAATAAAACTTTTTGTCGCATAGGCATGTAGACGTCGTAGGCATGTCCTTTAAAAAGTTTAGCTCAGTTCCAAAGTCTTTTGCAAATTTTTAGGCAACATCTTCAATTCCGCTAACGGGAGAACGTTTACCACTAATACTACAAAGTTGCGCAACCAGACGGATGGACAGACGAATAGGCGGATATGCTTAGGTGTATTCCAAATATGAAACTGGCCAAGAATTTGAGTACTTCGTGGGGTTTTTGGAGACTGTTTCCGTCCGTTACAAACAAATTGAAAACACAATTAAAATTTGATATACTGTAACATTGGGTAGGCGTAGCCTATTTTTTCCCACTTTTGGTTCACGAATACTACGGCATCAAGTTTTTGTACAGTTATTTGCTGTGGTTTATAAAAAAAAAAACAATGTTTCATTCCTTTTGAGAAATAAAGGTGTTCTCAGTTTACGTGGCGCTGTCTGAGCGCTCTTCGACTGCTTTGGTCCATGTTCAATACCGACTTGCGTGCAAGAATTTCTTATATTTCTGTCAAAAATGTAGCCGATAGCTTCTTGTTTGCTGCTAGGAAAATGTTTACAATACACATTATACACGCGGACAGACACCCAGACGGACATGCTTAAAACAATATAGAACTTGATGCTGATCAGGAACATTTATACTTTTGATGCTTCCTTCTGGGCGTTGCAAACGTTATGACAAAATGAATATACCTCTTATCCTTCGATGATGGGTGGGAAAAGAAAAAAGAAAGGATAATTTTAGTCGTTAACGTTGCACCATCACTTGACATTTCTGCCTTAACATTGCATTGCTTGAAAGGTTAATGCATGAATAAATATTTTTTATACAGTGTGCATGCATGCGTGGATTTCTATATACACTCGCATATCATTGCACTGTCTGAGCAAAAGCCATGAATAATGACATTTACTGCTTTTTTAAGCTAGTCACACTTTTTTAGAAATGCAAAAAAAAAAAAAATACATTTCTTTAACTAACTGGTGTTTAGATATGCTTTAAGAATTAACCTTCGCAAAAAGAGTTCAGGTGCATAAAATGTTGCTTTTCCTGCCTTTTCTTTTCTGCTGCTACTTATTATTTATTCAATTCTTTTAAATTTGTCTTTTTAAATTTTCCGTTTTTGTCTATTTCTCATTACTTTTTCTTTTCTTTTTTTTTTTTTTTGTTTTAAGAATTTTTACTTCACTTGTAACTTATTCAAAAAAAACAAAAAAAAAAAAAACAAAGTACTGTTATTATTGCTTTACTGCAATGAATAAAAATCCTTTTCAGCATTCATTCACGTTTTACTTCCTTTGATATTCTTAACCATTCACCTTTAAGTATCATGCAAAATGTTACCATGGCTATTAGTGCGTTGCAACAACAATTAACTAAAAGACCATTTGTTTGTTAAGTAAATTAAACGGTTTGTTATACCGCTTCTAAAATGAAGGAGAGAATAATTTCGATTGCGGTACAAGAATATATTAACTTTGTGCTGATGTATGCGTCACTTAGAAGAATTCGCGATAGATCCACCACAATTTATTCTGATTCGATTTAAGTTTGTCCGTCCGGCCATCTTTCTGTCTGGTTTTCTCATGCTTAATCTGCAATTCGTAATTTTTGAAATATTCCCGTCAAAATTGGGAAAAGTGACATGACTTTGACTCAACGACGAACACCATTGAGAGTGGTGTACCGGGTCGTACCAGTTTTATGGTCACTTGCCAGATACGGTTGTTATTACAAAACTTTTGTATATGAATAACTGTACGCTATAGGGCATTTAAGGATGGGTCGTGGCCCACTATACTTTACTTTACTTGCTTTTGTATCTGTTTTTACTAAATCAAATGCAAAAGTAGAGAGTGAAGATATGATACGATATTGTTAGTTACGTATTAAAAAAAAAAAGAAGGAATTTTAAGAAAAAAAGTTGAGTTAAAGCGCTTTTCAAAATCTCGTCTAAAAGGTGTTTGGTTTTTCATTTGAAAGAAATATCAGGCATTTATACTGATTGTAAAAGAAAGAGCCTTAAACCTAAGAACAATGTGTTGTTGAAAGTGTGTTGAAAATGGTGTAAGTGCAGTTTTCACAAAAATTTGTTTAATGGTGACAATGAATAAAATCTCCTAAGAGTTTCTTATTTATGAACGCAAGGTCCAAGGGAAAATCCTTTAAGATTTTCATCATTTTCCCAATATAAATTTGCATAGCTAATAAGAGAGAAGAGAGAAGAGTGGTATAAGTGGATTTATTAGAATCTTTATATCATCATGTCAGCGTCATCGCGTCCGAAAAATCGCATAGTTCAAATCTAAAGTCCATTAGAGTTTAATTTAGTCACATTTACCAATTGACCGGGCATTCCCTAGGCATCGAGTAGGCAATATTTTTCAAATACAATATATCCTTTATCTCTCCATATAATATGGAATGGATGTACAACATACTTTCATATCTGTGATTTAATATCTGAATAGAGATCTAGTGTAGAATGTTTCAAAAAATCATCATCGATTAGGTAGAAAATTTAATTATGAAAGAAAGAAACGGTGTCAGTTATAAAATTGATTAAAGAGAGTTCCTCGTAGGGAAAAGAATTTTTATATGGATCGAAAATGATTTTTGTGAATCAAGTGATAGTAAAGTTCGCTGGAGTACTGTTGAGTTTTCCAGCAATCGCAAGAGGAATGCCACAAGGCTGTAATCAGACCATATTTTAGACGAAATCTCTTGGGGTATTTTCTAAATTCAAGGGCAACTTCAAAGGCATAATTTCTCGAGGAGCAGATCAAACATGGCGTACTAAGCCGAAAGGCTTTGCGTTTGCGTCCTGTCCGATTATAAACTGCATTTCCAAAAGTGTGAATAATATTGGATCCACGATCTTGATCTAGGATCTAGGCAATGCATATAGTGTTCATAGATAATATTCAATATTAGTTGTTCTTAGTTCAAACAACCTTGTTTATGGTGTATAATCGTGCTTTAGTTGATTGCATATGCAAATGCAATATTAATAGATTTTATAGAGAAATACGTTAACTGTTGTTTAAAATAAAAAGCAAAAAAAAAAAAAAAAAAAAAAAGCGCACACTCACCTGCATTTGTGCCAACTTTGAATTGGCTGCGACACCTTGTGACGCCATCGCCAAATTTGTAAATGTGTATACAATGTTGTCTATCAATTGTTTATTCGTCGAATTACAGCAATCGAAGCTTTGGTAATACAACCTCTTACTGATTTATAATGACAAAGCCACAAACTATATACTATACACATGTATATACACACTTATGTTCACAAATTACTAATAATAAGTAAATAAATTTTTAATAATAATGAGAAGAAAAATATTTTGTAATATTGTGTCGTGTATAATCACACACATACACACACACACACACACACACACACATGCGCGCATAACCAATCTAACAATAGCGTTTTAATGTAGGTAGCGGTAGTATGTAAAATTTTGTTTTGCTTTAATTCATTTAAGTTAAAAAAAAAAAAAAAAAAAAAAAAAAAAAAAAACAAAGATGAAAGAAAAGATAAATAATAATAAAAGTTAAGATGTGTGTGCGGGGGTTTCGTGTGGAGCAAAAGCAAAAGCAAAAGCTTTTTACATGCAAGCAATCGAAAGATAGTTTGTAAAATTATTTTTAAAACGAATTTCAAGATCAAGACAGACAGACACGTCTTGCTTTGCTTGTTCGTGTTTAAGAAAAATTGAAATTATTTTTCTTATTGTCTTCTCTACTCATGACAACAACAGGCGTTGTCGTTAACTCTTGATGATGAATCAGAATCAGTTTTTTTTTTTTTTTTCTTTAACGATATTTTGGATATTTACGGAACATAACAAAACTTGCTTTACGTTCCACTCTACAGCACATAGGCTTACGCACTCAAACACAAACACAAAATATTGTAATGTATTTTTTCATTAAATTTCTCTGTTCTCGCAGTTTTGACCGCACTCCCTCTCTCTCTATCTCTCTTTCTCTCTGTCTATTTACATAAAGTGCATTTGACCCCCCCAGTCAGAAATGTTTTATTGTTTATATTTTAGTTGCAGTTAATTTTATGATGTTAGTTCGAAGATAAAATCTTCTTCTTCTTCTTTACGTAGTATTCTCTGGCTCTTTATTGCCAATAGTTAATAGTTAAAGAGTTAATAGTAGTTAATAATAGTTTCCACTCCTAGAAATAAAAGAAAAGAAAGGAAAAATGTATGAATAAATAAAAGAAATAAAAATCAAAAAAATGCAAATTGATATCAAACAAGAACCCAAATGCGGAGACCAACAACACTTTCACCAATTAAGAATCAAAATTTTATGATTATTATTATTATTATGATAACATACGGTCACAGATATAGAAGACATGCATATGAAAACAACTAAGAAGACTAACGTTAAATACGCGATACCATCACACATCAGTTAGGCATATTGTTAAAATGAGGCGATGTATAAGAAGCGATCGATGGTCCGATCCGAAAAGATGCCAGTGTATCAAAATATCCTGTGAAGCCTGGAGTATGAAAGTAAGAAAGCAACACGGACAGATGGACGGACAAGCTTAATCGGTATAATAAAACGTGCATCCAAGTTAGGTCTTCTGGACCTTGCATACATCTGCCGTCCTAGAGGTGTAATCGATCTACCCCCTACTAACATAAACCATACATACATACATATAAAGCTATTTTTAAATCTGATTAAGCTTGTTGGTAAACTATTTGACACGCCCGCAATAAAGAAAATATATTCGCTTCTAAGTCCACGTTTGTTGGGAAGCGAGGTCTAACTGAAGTTCAAATCTGTGTCCTGAAATTTCGTAAATAAATTATTGAAGAAACATTTCACTTGTTGAAATACAATCCAAGTTGTTCGCGGTCTAGCAAACGAATCTTAGTTAGAATCTTGTTGAAGAACATAATCACGTCGTATATAAAGAGTTGCAATACTAGAGAATTCGTTTGTTCGCTTGGTGACCTCTAAAGGAAAAAAAAATCGTATGTATGTGATCATAACTCGACTTGGAATATAAAATCTATTCAGAAAATTTGGATGCGATGTCAATTCCGCTAAAAAAAAAAAATTGAGAAAAATTTTAAACCTTCTTTCATCCTGGTGGGTAGTAACGTGTCGAAGAGACATGCATTAAAAAGATGGAAAAGAAAAAGACCTCCAAATGTGACTCGAGTGATTAACCAAGGAAAGTAACTATCATTTTTTTTCATTTCCTTAGAATATATAAAATAATAGTGTCCTTGGGAAAGTAAAGCCTCAGTTTAATTTTAATTATTTGCACACACACACACACACACACAAATGCTCATATAAACCTATCAAGTAACTTATTATTGCAAGCGAATAAGAAAAAGTTGTGGAGGCGATTATAATTCCCAATTAAGTTTTCTTAGCAATATACGATTTGCTGTTGGTGTTGCATATATATAGATATATATACACGCCAAAGCTCTTGTGCTAGATTAGTGTGGGCCGATTTATTTTACTAATTTGGAGAAGTTGTCATTGGCGAGAGACCATAACAGAGAGACCTGTGAGATGGCATTGATCTTTTCTATATAAGGCCAACGTAAAATACTGAACACATATACATGCGAATGTATACAAATACGCGCACACACAGCTATATATATATATATATATATATACATATATATATATATATACCTAAAAAAAAAAAAAAAAAAAAAAAAAACGAAAGAAAAAAAGACGCTAACACAAACACACTCTTATGCCATACTTACATTGCTTTATATGAAATTAAAAAAAAAAAACATGTATCGATTTATTGATAGACACGGCGAATTTTTTTTCATATTTTTTCATTTAATTTAAAAAACAATTTTTTGTCATTTGCTCTCTTTTCGCAAAATAATCGAGTGAAAAAAACAAATTTGATAGAAATCAATTTATGTAAATTTGAAAGTATTCAATAATGAAAGATTTTTATGAAAGATAAATCAAAAATTTGTCAAATAAAATATATACATACATTTACACATATATGTATATAACAATAGTTAAAAGCTATTTAAAAAACAACCTTTCATTACCCTACGCCACGTTATGTACAAAAGTAGGAAAATCAAAAATTTAATTTTCATTTAATTATGTTAATTAATAAAAGGTTTTTGCTTTTATGAATTTACGAAAAGGTTTTGAAAATGAACTTTAAAATAATTAAGCAACGCTTTTAAGTGATGTGAGTCACTTCGTTGCGTTTATGTTTATTTCTAAATCATTTTTTCTTTTTCGTAATATTTTTCTGAGAGAAATTATTATGCGTCGTAATGGAGACCAGCGTCAACAAGCCCTATGTAAGAACCGGCAGAAAAAAAACAACCTCAATAGATTCGCTCGAACTTGATTTATTGCCAAGCGATGCTTGGTATACATTTTCTCTCCTTAAAGACTAATTTCTGTGCCGACCCCTAACGGATGGGGGTATACTCATCTTCCTTTTTTTCCAAAAACGGAACTTCAGAGTATACGTATTCTTGATTAGCGTGAAATTGATTAATCCATGTCTGTCCATCTGTTCTTCCGTGTGGTGTGTGTTTTTGACTCTCTCCTGGTAGCAAAAATGAAGCTATCGGCTTCAGATTTGGTAGAAATATTGAAAGTTTTTGCACGCAGGTTGGTATTGAAAATCGGGCTAATTACTCAGAGCAAAGGCCCGGAGTAGTGTGTAGAATGTGTAGAATGCAACTCTGTTCTTCTTAACAAAAATTTATGGGTTATTCGGAAATTATTAAAGTTAGAAAGCTGAAATTTTCCACATTTGCTTTGCAAGACACTTTACTCTCTAGGTTCAAAAATGAAAGCAATCGGCCTTGTCCGCACAAAGTTACGAGTAATTAAATTAAATTTTTTTTCACTTTCATTGAGTCTTTATGCTTATTTATCATAAGGCAAAGAAGACAGAATATTTAAAACTATTTTGTACATTCCCCAAATGAAGATATATTGTCTGCCTAAAGATGGGTTAATTCAAAAATGGATATAGGAGACACCGCGACCTGGTGGATTAATTCTAAATAATAACAGCGATATGGGTATCAAATAAAAGAACTTGGAGAGTAAAAGACGACAAGGTAAGTGTGTTAATTCTAAGTTAATTATAGTGGACGTGACGACATGGTGAATACATGTTTTCTTAAAAATACCGTTAATATGGGTATCAAATAAAAGGGTTTGAAGTTTGGAATCCGAATAGTTAAGTGAGCCCATACTAAATTGGTTATGATGGACGTCACGGCGTGGTCGAGTAATATTTCTCAGCAGTGTCATTTAGGGAAGTCAAAGATGAAAGATAAATTTTATCTCGTTCACTTAGCATGGCACTTGGCGTTCACAGCATGGGGCGCCAAAGACTTTAACATTGGTGGGTATGTGAGATTCGGTTTCAGTCGAATATAACTTTCTTGCTTGTTTTGTATAGTCTTTCTTTATTTGCTCGTAGCAGACATGCGATTTACGATATCAGAAACCTGTCGAAATATATCCCAGAACTTTTGAAGAAACTTGGCTCTGTACAGTTACCTTTCGAAATACATTAGAACGGACATAACTTTTATTCTGATATTGCCGTAGAGCTACTTAAATAAAGAGGTTTTAAAGCATAAATTAATTCAATTACTCCAGATATCGATAAAAGCATATTAACCATAAATGGTCAGCTTTGACTTATACTCAAGTCGAGATGAGCGTTTGATATTGAAATCAAAGTGTGTAAACGCGAAACAAATTCTTAAGTGAACTCTAACACGAATTTTGTAATTATGATTGTTGTCACTCGCTTTTTTAGGATCGGAATCAATTTACTATGTTCCCTTTCAGCCAATATCTTTCTTTAAACGAAATTTTTGGGAATGTAGCCATCGTGTAAAAAAAGAAGTAGGTGTACTCCCCCAACAGCTGCGTCTTTTGATGACCCGAAAAAAGACACAATTTAAGCATTAATAAAAAACACTTTGATGATAACATTAGTGGTGGGCGTAGAGTGTTTCAGGTAATATCTGGTTCAATGGAGAACACTTTTATAGATCCTTATGATTAACAAAAGCCTCGTCTTACTTTCAACAACTCATGTATTACTTTGAAAGTGTTCGCAACCAATACCGATATAGATTTGAAACCAACATAAGTGGTTATGCTGACGAGATACTGCCCATAATATCGCTGCTAAAAGGATCCATTGACATAGTTACAATAGATGAAAGCCCACTTAAAGTTTGACTTGTCAAAAATAGGTTCGTTTGTTTATTGTACTACATAAAAACGTAGCTTTGCAAATCTGGAGACGGATGCAATTATATTACTCATCCATTCTTCTTGAGGAATTCGCTTTGGTGCACGTTGTCAGCGCAAGCGTTGTATGCGAATTGTCTCTGAGAAAAGTTTTACCCTGGAATTTGCGTCCCTACGAGCAGTAGGGACAGAACAGTAACCGGACATGAGAAACGATTCCATTCTGGCATTTTCCGCTTAGATCATTTTGGGAGAGATCCACAGTTTTATAGTGAGATGGCCTTCAGAAATAATTGTCGGAAACACTCTCTGGTGCCCTCTACAAAAGCAAAATCCCGGTCCTTCTCTTATTTGTTATAGATTAGACTACGTTGCTATTGTAGGTTTATGGATTCCTAAGCTAGTTATCCACTAAGATTCGCCCCAAAGCGATTATATTCATGACTATTTCTACTAGGAAAGAAAATTACATACACACATATTAGCCATCTTAAGATGATTTCTTTTCAGCGTGTATCACTAAATAGCTTGACGGATCCATATGAATGGCAGATAGTACCAATTTTCAGACGACTATTTGTAACTTGTATACTAATTGTCAGGATGTCATCATGGTTAGGTACTATCTAAAAAAACCATATAGTACTTATTCTACATCTTTACGTTATCCTACAAACTTATTGAGTGATATATTACAGTACGGGATACATTCGTTTATTCAGTATTGAAGTATATAATAATTTTGAATTGATTGAGAGAACAAAAATGCATTTTCCCTTTTAAATCTAATCTAATTTTATATACTCGATCGTTTAATTGGAATGTCTGAAT